CTTCCCTGGTTTGTCTAGGCAGCTGGGGTCTTCAGCTGCAATGGATGGCGGGGGTGGAGTCCGAGGACGACATTTATCCTGTAATTGCTGATAGCATCTGCGACTGCATCGGTATGAATGCCACTCAAACCTGTCTGATTGGCTTCTTGTCTAGCGGTTCTCTCTTATAGCATTGGACCTACCTCTCTAGATCGTGTATGTCCTTTCTGACACGCCATATCATGGTTATGATGACTCTCACGGTAGCACCCAAGCAGGTACTGCAACGAAAGCATATGATTATGCTGACATAAGGGGAGGACTTTTGCCTCCTCATGTAGATGGTCCATTGGTGTCATGAGGAGGCACCCTGTCGCAGGTCTGGATGTACTTCCACTGCGTAGCACTAGTATTCGCAGACCACACTGGAGCCGCATAGCTGACCACAGGTCAACATGGTTTCCTTGCCCGCACCCTCAGATGCTGCCGGCTAGCGCCTTAAGGACCTTGTTCCTACTTTTCATTTTGTCCCAGATAGCAATGGCTTGCGCGGACGACTTGAGCAATGCTGTCGACCCCTAGAATTTGGTGTAGTTCGTGTTCGGTATTAAATTCCCCTCGATTTTCACATTCAGCTGTGTTCTCATCTCCGCAGACCATATGGTAAAGAGTGTGGTCGTTGATTTCGTGGCTGATATTTTTCCTCGCGTGGAAGTATAGGCATAGGATTAGGATTTTAGTGTAGTTCACGATGGAAATTAATTATCTCTAGGCCTGTACATTCGGTTGTGTTCTCATTTCCACGGATCTTTAGGGAAACTAATGTGGCGTTTGGGGCCTTCGTGGCAAATTCCTCGCTTGGAACAAGGCAGCAAGCTGCACGAGATAAAAGTTCAGCCATACACACATGTTAACAACCAAAATACCCGATATCCGATAGTGCAGTAAACCGCATATATAAAGATCTCAATGTCGTTTGGGTGGGGGAGGAATTCCGGCAAAGTAGAGGTTTAACAGTTTCGGAGATATGTATCAGCATACCTTGGGAAGCAACACCCACATTGGTCGATTACGCCCCAATGTCGCTTAGCTTATAAAAGACTGGTCATCAAACTGGGACCCGGGACTCTATAGATTGATTCTTCAACTAATACCCATACTAAATTCCCTTCGCAGTAAAATGTCTCATGAGAGCAGCTTTAAACAAACTTTTAGGCCTATAACTATGAGATGTAAAGACTTTTCCATAATTGAATGTATAAGGGCAACCTGTGGTAAATACATGCATTTGAGGCGTCCATGGTAAGCCAATCTATGGACTTAAGCTGGTTTAAAATAAATCTCTGACCATCAGTTTGTATTCGAATATTATCTGGGCTCTATTCAGAAGGTATGTCCAATTGTCAAGACTTTTTTTCCGCCAATTCCTTTTCAAATCCAAAAAAAGAAATCAAATAAAATTCCTACGAGACATTACGCCATATCCCAATGTATACAAATAATCACTCGCCAATATAGGACAAATCCCTGAAAACTATTTGGGAAGATGTTTAATTGTTTATCTTGTTTACTTGTTCTATATATTTTTGCAAGGTGGCTCTTGTCTTTCTACACATTTAGAATCTAGAAAAGAAAAAGAAATTATAAATACATTTGGCTTTTTGAATAACAAGGGGGGAGGGGAGGAGGCTTAGGGCATACCACCACATTTGTTTGGGAATGGCCAAGACAGGCCGCCGCAATTGCTCCCTATTTTTCCACTATGGTTATGGTTTAGGACAAAGATAATATTCATTGTTTCATTGAGAATTTGTGTTTTCTTATATCAATGAGGGGGGATCTTGTTGCGGAAGTTTATCTTTTGTATATATCGTACTTTGACTTTGGAGCTGGCACAACAGCAACAACAATACAGTAGCCAACAACAATCCCTAACATATATAGCAGCACTGTGACGACGACGACGACGAAGCAACGTCGCAGACCCCTCCTTTCTTCGACCAACTTTTTCTCAATAAATAAATGTACATGGTAGCCAGAGTATGTAATGGGTGACGACAATGTTGTTGGTGTTGTTTTTTTTGTTTCTGCACTATCACCACTTACAGGGGAACTTACAATAATTTTTGTTTTTTTGGATAAATTTAATATTTTTCTGTTCATTCATTGTTACTCATACTCTCCAGCCAAGACGACGGGGCATATTATTTTTCTTTTTTCTGCTACACACACACACACACACGAACACTTGTACAATCATACACAATATACTTATATGTTCCCCGTCCGTCGTCCGTCCGTGTCACCCATCTTCAACAACAACGACGGACGGCGGCTACGTCAACGTCGTCGTAGTCGTCATCCATCATTTCATTTGATATCATCTCCAAAACCACCAACCAACCAAACAGCCAACCAAACAATTTGGCAAGATACACCATAATAACTCACCTATTGTCGATATAAATGTTGTATTGAAGGCATCTTCAGAGAATCGGAATAATATGCACGTTTTCCAACACCAGAATCACCAATTAACAACAATTTGAACAGATAGTCGTATGTCTTAGCCATTATTCTCTGATAAAATAAAAAAACACTTTCTGCGCGAATGCGTGTTACTTCTTCTCGAGCAACGAACAACGAAAAAATACAACACAAAACCAACAACCAAGCAATTTGACGACGACGTAGACGATGTTGTGATGATGATGAGGATGGTTGCTGTTGCTATTTTTCCACGATCGTTTCTATTTAATACATAAATCGAATACCACCGACGTTCTTCAATTATTGTATATTCTCAAACTTTGAAATCCTTTTCTTGTTACTTTACACTTCTCTGATGACAAAATCAAAATCTAGTCTTTCCACACAATCAGTCTACAAAAATTTTTCGTCGACGACTTTATGGTGGTTGATAAGTGTTGCCAGAAGGTTGGTTATCATGTAAGCACTGAGAGGTTCACATGAAAAAGATGAAGCACTGTCATCAATTCCCTTTGCATGAATCGAGGGTGCATAGCAATTTTACTTTATCTTGACCGTCGTCTCCTTGTTTTTCTCTCCTCATTCGTAACTCCATTTCTTTTTAATTCTGTATTTTTCTGTTCGTTATTCATCATCTACTTGTTGTTAGATGACCTGTTACAATATAGGTGGCATGTCCACTAGTCAAGTTGTTTTATTATTGGTCCAAACATGGTACAATGCATGGTACAATGAATTCAAGGTAGGGCAGAACTACCATATGATTTAAATTTTTTTTATTTTTCTGGCTTAATATGTCAACTTCATTTGCTTATGTGTGTGTCTTCTTATTAATAATAAAAAAATTGTTCAGAAAATATTAAAATTCGGGTGTTTTCAAAATGCTTATTGCAACGAATGCATCGACAAAATCTACAGTTTTTGTCGCGAAATAAACCATAAGAGATATATAGAACATGATATTGAAAAGAAATTTTGACCATTCATTCAGTTTTCGCGGTTTTAAATTATTTATTCAAAATCAATGCAACAAGTTTGCTTTTTTTTATTGTTTTGATAGTAATTCTGACATTACAAGCCAAACAGGTAGATCTCTATACTTGCAATTTTTTCAAAGTTGACCTACCTTCTCTTCATTGTACCATGGCTGGAAACCAAAGCGTAGTCCGACGTCAAGAAAGTGGGCGGAAGAAAACAGTAAAACAGTAACATCAGCAGAAATGTTTCGAAAAGTAAAGAAGCGGCCGAAAAATGGCTCGTGAGCTGAACATATCGCAATACTCCATTCAGAAAATATTGAAAAATGAGCTCGAGGTAAAGCCATTGAAATTCCAAAAAGTGCAAGAACTTACACCGCAACAGAAATAAAATAGACTCAAAAGAGCTAAATAGTTGTTTGGCTTGGCCGAAAGTGATGAACTGCCGAATTTGGATTTCTCCGATAAGAAAACATTCGTTGTCCAGCAGTAGGTTGTATTGTTTAACTTCTAATTGATCCCATGGTACAATAATAAGGAAAGGTAGAGCTAGCAGCTGATTACAATTTTTTTTAAGTGTGCCCGACTTCTGTCAATTTTGTGTATGTATTATTGTTTTGAAAAATAAAAACAAATATTAAATAGCGGGACGCACATTAATGATATTAACCAAATTTGCCACGGATTTAAAAGATTGAAAATTTAGGATCATATTTTTAAGAGAACGTCCAGGCATTTCATTCACCTTTCGCTCTATTTGATGCATTTGAAAAATTACCAAAAAATATAATAAATGAAAACTTGTTGGATATAATTTTGAATAATTCTGACAGGAAGCGGGCATAGCCTCAGGGCTGTATTTCTGTAGTTTTACGAAGCTGTTCTACCTCTTTATTGTACCATGATTGATCCTATGTTTCCTTCATGCACGAAAATCTTATTTTCAGTTATTCTTTAAATGAGACATTTAAGTTGGATTGAATTTTACAGCTTTCTCCCTGGTTCTTGTGTCATATGGTTCATAATTTTGAGTTATGCGTAATTGATATGACAATTTTAATCGAAAACTATTGGGATAACCCATTTATATGTAAACGTACTGTAACATGTTTAAAACTACGCACAATTTATGAAAAAAAACTCGAAAATGACAGATGACTTGTCGATGTAAACGTGACATAAAGTTTTGGGTTTCTGTAGATATATATTTTATTATTATAATTTAGCTATTTTGCATTATATTCAATAGGTACTTTACAAATCATTATATAGAAACCACAAATTGGTGTTAAGAGTGTATTGCTTTCATGGCATGATTGCGTTGTTAAATTAAAAACAAACAACTTCCATTTATATATTCAATATTGCGCATAAATTAACAACGAACGCCTTTCATTTCGTTTTCACCGACCCTTTGTTTTTTGTGTTATCAATGCACTGTGAACGCTCCACCAGCCCCAACAGTCGAGAAGAAGAGCTAGTATTGTTAACTTACAATGAAATTTCTTTTTGGTCATAAGATGATAATTTTCCAAAATAATATGGTGAAAATGTCGCATTGCAACATTGATAGTTGGCCAAGACGGTGTACTAATGAATTCCTGTGCAAAATGGATATGAAATTGGAACGCAAGTTATGAAAAACAAAATAAATAAAAAAAATAAAGTGTTAATAAGACGAAAAAAAAAAATCGTGTAATTGGCCTGAGAAAGAAGTGAAGAAAGAAAAAGAGAAATAAAAACAGACGTAGTTTTTTTTTCGTATTGTAACTGCCTCTGCTTCAAAGGCAGCAGTTTGGAGTATACGTGAGTGTGTGCGTGCGGGTTCTATGAGTTTTTGTTATTGTTATTTCGTTTGTCTTCTTTTATGAACGACAAAAACAACGACGAAGAACGCAGAGAATATAGCGAGCGAAGCCAGCGTTTTTTGTAAGGTGTCGTCTCTCCGGAATTTGAATTCCACTGAAGTTTGTTTTTTCTTTCTTTGGTTTGGCTAGCCAACCAACCAGCCAGGTGCAGTTAGCCATCCGCACTTCCATTTACAGATATTAACCACCACCCCACCCATTTTGCAAAGACAGCAAAATGGGTGCAAAGGAATCAAAACAGACTTGCATTAGTTATGAGGATGCAGTCAAAAGAGGTAAGCAAAGAAAAAACTTGGCTAATTATTTTCTTTTTGTATGGGGTTCATCTATTTGTGATTTATAGTCATCTTATTATTTGTGGTGGAGGCCATGAAGATAGCTGGTGTGGTGGGGGTGTTTTTGCTTTCTTTTGCAATGTCCACTACATGTGTGTGTGTGTGTGTGTGTGTGTGTGTGTATAGGAGAGCGCGGGGCCAACACCGAAAGGGGGTCAATGAAATGGGTTATTTTGCCTTATGGGGAAGAGGGCAAACAAGAGTGTAGAGTTCTTTATTTTTTTTATCATTAACTTTGTTGTTGTTTTCAAGTTTTTCTTTTATTTCTAATTTTTATTATTGTTTTCGTAATCTTTTTCAACGTCTCTTTAATTTTTGATTCTTAGATTACTATGATAGATTTTAGTTAATTTGTTTCTGTTGTTGTTTTTAATAATTTATACGCGAAGAAGAAAACCCAACTGAAGGTGTGTGAGTGAGTGTGCGTGTGGACTTATTGTTTTGCCTGTAAGTCGGATGAAGTTTATGACATGAGGGGGATTTTTTTTCTCTTGTTGCGGGATGCAAAAATGTTTGGCAATCTGGAATTGCGATTGAAACTAATGACTTAGATACCTACCTACAATTAATAAATATATTTAATTGATATCCTTATGATTGAACGCAAAATTCAGTACATTATATACTAGTAACCCAATTTACTAAATTTAATCAGTTAAGAACTTAAAATACAAGGTGAGATAAAAAAATGCAACAAAGTCAAACGCCATAATTTTTTTCCTTTTTTTTAATTTTTTTTTGAATGAAAGCAAAAATGTCGGAAATAGCATCAAATTTTAGAATAAGTTTTGATTTGGTCGAATTGGTCACCTTTGGCCTGAATTATGGCCAATGAAACCGTCACACGTTGCCCGAATGTTGCTCTGCGGTGTTTTGGCCCATTCCCGGCGAAGCGCTTGCTTGAGGTGCTCGACACTTTGGTATTTTTTAGTGGCAACTTTGCTTTCCAAAATACTCCAGACACTATAGTCCAACGGATTGGTATCCGGAGATTTTGGTGGCCACTGTGGGCTGAAAATTAAACAAGGAACCTCATTTTGTAACCATTCTTAGTAATATTCTGAATATCTTCAAATTACACACATCACTATACTTTTATTACCCCAATGCCTGGTGTGAAGATGGAATATATCGGACCATTCTTTCTGGTACCTCCCCCACAAAGGGTCAATATTTTGAGTATCCATGGAGCTCATAAAACACGAAATTGACATCCGATTCCATTCAGACTTGGCTCATCTCAATATTTCCATAAGCACAAGATCTGTTATGAAGATCGGACCATTCCTTCTGGTACCTTCCCCACAAAGGGTCAAAGTTTTGAATAACCAAACGATCATGAAATCCGATATAAGCATTCAGTTCTCCTTAAATTATACACAACACAATATTTTTATTAACCCAAGGTCTGGTGTGAAAATGGAATATATCATCCACTCCTTCTGATCCACTCCTTCTGGCACCTTTCCCACAAAGGGTCAATATTTTGAGTATCCATGTAGCTCATAAAACACGAAATTAACATCTGATTCAATTCAGACTTGGCACATCTCAATATTTCCATCAACACAAGAACTGTTATAAAGATGGTACAGATCAAACCATTTCCTTTGGTAACTCCCCCACAAAGGACTCAAGATTTTGAAAAATAAAACCCTCAAAGAAAGCAAAATAAGAATCTACCTCTCCTCACATCCAAATATTTTTGCTAACGCAAGATCTGTTGTGATATATTTGCCAACACCAAAAAGGGTCACAATTGACAATACTTAGCTACAAATTCTCCACAAAAATATATTTTTCTCCAAAAAAAATTTTATCCGCAGTCTTTTCTCTACAAAAATATTTTATCCGCAATGTTTTCTCCGCGACAATGTTTTGTCCGCAAACAATTTTTCTATAAAAATATTTTATTCGCAACATTTTCTCTACAAAAATTTCTCCACTAAATTCTATCCACAATTTTTTCTCCACGAAAATATTCTATCCACAACTTTTCTCCGCGATAATGTTGTATCCGCAACATTTTCTAAGCGAAAATATTCTATCTGCAATATTTTTTCCACGAAAATGTTGTATCCCTAATATATTCTCCACATAAATATTTTATCCGCATCATTTACTCCACAAAAATATGTTAACCGCAACATTTTCTCTACGTAAATATTTTGTCCGCAACACTTTCTCCACGAAAATGTTGTATCCGCAACATTTTCCACAAATTTTCTCCACAAAAATATTTTATCCGCAATCAATATTTTATCTGCAACATTTACACTACAAAAATATGTTATCCGTAATATTTTCTTCACAAAATGTTGTTATCCGCAACATTTTCTCTACGTAATTATTTTATCCGCTACCTTTTCAACACGAATATGCTTAATTCGCAACTTTTTCCCAACGAAAAGGGTTTATCCGCAACATTTTCTCCACGAAAATATAATTTCTGCTATATTTTCTCCACGAATATGTTTTATCCGCATTCTCCCCGAGAATATTTTAACTTTTTCTCCACGAAAATATCCTATCCGCAGCATTTTCTCCACGAAAATGTTTTATCCGCATCATTTCTCTAAGAAGAACGTTTTGGACGAAACTTTTCTTCTATAAAAATGTTTCATCCGCAACCTTTTCTCTACAAAAATATTTTATCCGCAACATTTTCTCCACAAAAATATGTTATCCGCAACATTTTATTCACGAAAATCTTTTATCCGCAATATTTTATTCACAAAAATGCTTATCCGCTACAAATTCTCCACAAAAATATATTTGTCTCCAAAAATATTTTATTTGCAGTCTTTTCTCTACAAAAATATTTTATCCGCAACAATTTCTCCGCGAATATGTTTTATCCGCAACATTTTCTTTGCGAACATTTATTATCCACAAACAATTTTTCTATAAAAATATTTTATTCGCAACATATTCTCTACAAAAATATTTTATCCGCAAACAATTTCTCCACGAAAATATTCTATCCACAACCTTTTCTCCACAACTTTTTTCCGCGAAAATGTTGTATCCGCAACATTTTCTTTACAAAATGTTTTATCCGCAACAAATTCTACGCGAATATTTTCTATCCGCAATATTTTTTCCACGAAAATGTATCCCCAACATATTTTCTCCACATAAATATTTTATCCGCATCATTTTCTCTACAAAAATATGCTTTCCATAACATTTTCTCCACAAAAATATTTTAACCGCAACATTTTCTCTACGTAAATATTTTATCCGCATCACTTTCTCCACGAAAATGTTGTATCCGCAACATTTTCCACAAAAATATTTTATCCGCAACAATTTCTCTACAAAAATGTGTTATCCGTAATCTTTTCTCCACAAAATGATGTTATCCGCAACATTTTCTCAACGTAATTGTTTTATCCGCTACCTTTTCTCCACGAATATGTTTTATTCGCAACTTTTTCCCAACGAAAAGATCTATCCGCAACATTTTCTCCAGGAAAATATAATATCTCCTATAAAAATATTTTATCCGCTACGTTTTCTCTACAAAAATATTTTATCCGCAACATTTTCTCTACGTAAGTATTTTATCTGCAACATTTTCTCCACGAAAATCTTTTATCCGCAACATTATATTAACGAATATGCTTTATCCGCTACAAATTCTCCACGAAAATATATTTTTCTCCAAAAATATTTTATCCGCAGTCTTTTCTCTACAAAAATATTTTATCCGAAACGTTTTCTCTACGTAAATATTTTATGCCCAACTTTTTTCTGCGAAAATGCTTTATCCGCAACATTTTCTTTAAGATTTTTTATCCACAAACAATTTCTCTATAAAAATTTTTTATCCGCAACAAATTTTCTCCACGAAAATGTTGTATCCCCAATATTTTATCCGCAACATTTTCTCCACAAAAATATGTTAACCGCAACATTTTCTCTACGTAAATATTTTATCCGCAACATTTTCTCCACGAAAACATTTTATCCTCAATTTCCTCGCCACGAATGTTTATCCGCAACATTTTCTCACGAAAATGTTTCATCCGCAACGTTTTCTCTACAAAAATCCTTATCCGCAACAATTTCTCCACGGCAATATTTTATTCGCAACATTTTCTTAAAAAAAAACATTTTATCCGCAATACTTTCTCCACATAAATATTTTATCCGCAACTTTTTCTCCACAAAAATATTTTATCCGAAATATTTTCTCTACGTAATTATTTTATCCGCAACTTTTTCTCCGCGAAGAAGATATTTGACCTCAAATGTTTCTCATCGAAAATATATATTATCCGCTATATATTCTCCCCAAAAATATTTCAACATTTCTCCACGAAAATAATTTATCAGCAACATTTTCTCTACATACGGGTTTATCCACAAATCTTTCCCAATTAAACTGTCTTATCCGTAACAATCTCGGGTTGATTTTTTTTTCTCTGGTACATTTTTATCCTCCGCCTTTGCCATGGAAAAATCCTGCATGAGATATTTTGTAAAGGTATTTCCCTTTCCTAACCTAAAAAATTCGCCCAGGGAACCCCAAATTAAGTCTGATAATGAGTCATTTCTTATTTTTTTCACGGCAAAGCCCATTAGGCTCATTCCAACCCACTCCCCCTTATGATATCCATACACTTTCACTATCAATTGTTAAACAGAAATAAAATTAATTAGGCAATATTTGTTTTATACGCAAAAACGTGGCGAAAAACAAATCCTTTTTAATAATAACAAAAATAAATATCGATCAGAACAGATTTAGAAGTGGCACAGGGGCCCCTCGACAATAAATGTATAAAATTAATAATACATGCTGCTTATGTCAATATTCTACATAAGGTTCTTTGGCAAATATAAGATAAGATTTCGAAACAGTGATTCATTATTTAAAAAAGCTATAGTAGAGTATGGGAGAGGTGGGGTGGGGGTTGAGCAAGCAATAACTTTAAATACGATTTCCAATAATTTGTACAAGACATTATTTGGTTAATACATTTAACTATTGTGATTTTTATCATTTATTGTATTGCTGACTTTTTAACATAGTAATTGATTAATTATTTGTTGTTCTATTTTGTTTTATTTTTTCTAGTCTCTGAATCGGAGTTAAGGCGCCTGAAAGAAGCCTTCAAGAAATCAGCTGGAGTTGGACGTTTTTATCTTAGCCGCAATGCCTTCCAACAGGATGTCTTGTTCGAGGGTGTTCCGGCCAATGTCACAGATCTTTTGTACACAGCCTGTGGCGGTACGAATAAGGGCATATCTTTCAAAGATTTGTTATGTGGTTTGGTTCTAATAACAAAAGGTACCGAAGATGAGAAAATAAGGTAGTTATGATTTGAATTTTTGCCAATATTGCAGTGCTAATATTTGCTCCTTATTTTCCAGATTTCTGTGGAATCTCTATTGCAACGATAGCGGTACCTATATCCTGAAATCGGATTTTACAAAAGCCCTCAACTTATTGCCCTACGAGAATGCATCCTTGTTTGCCCAAACAGATCGCATTAATTTTGAACAGTTTCAAGCGTGGTTACTGAAAAATCGCACCTCAACGGTCCTATCCAAATGGCTGTTATCCGATAATTGTATTTCCCTAACATCGGAACTGGAAACACCAACATTCTATCAAAGTTTAGCGGGTGTAACACATTTGGAGGAGAAGGTAAACAATCCCCAACCCTCAAAGAAAAATATGCTTTGTTATTTACTTTTTTTTATAATGCGCATGACATTCCTAGAATCTAAAATTGCTTTCGTTTGTTTTGTAAATGCAATAACATCTATTTCATCCATCCTCTTTCATGTGCATAGCATTTGCATCTGCACAAAGGATCAAAACAAAGAACTCCATTTGCTTTGTTTTTCAATGAAAACTATGAATTGGTCAGCTTTTAAAGAAGGTTAATGGTCCTTTGACACATAAATCTGGGAACTAAATTTGGAATAGAACATTGGCTAAGATAAGGAGAGCGTCATGGCTCAACAAATCATTTGATACGGTCAAAACTTACCTCATCTTTGAACCAAATCCGTTTCAGGACATTTGTAGTCTATCTAGCGATGTCCGTTTGTCTGTCTGGCTGGCTGGTGTGCACGATAACTCTCGAAGGGAGTATTCCAATTTGATCCAAACTTGGGACATCGTTATATTATTGTCAAACTAAGATCGAGTTCGGATATGGGCAATATCGGTCCACTTCTTCAGGGTACCTCCCCCCACAAAATTTCAAAATTTTCAAAGAAAATAATTTACTGCACAAAAACAGAAAGGATAGTCCGATTTTGCTCCAACTTTGAAAATCCTAATATTTGCATCAGTGCTAGGTCAGGTACGAAAATGGAAAATATCTTTTAACTCCATCAAGTACCTCCCTCACAAAGGGTCAAAATTTTGAATAATTATAACTCCTCCAAAATCGAAAGTAAGTCTCCGCTTGCCTTCAAATTACATACATCACAATATTTTTATTAACCCAAGGCCTGGTGTAATAATGGGATATATTGGTCCACTCCTTCTGATACCTCCCCCACAAAAGGGTTAAAATTTTGAATAACCAAAATGATTATAAAATTCGAAATAAGCTTCCGGTTTTCTACAAATTACACGCATCACAATATATTCATTAAGCCAAGGTCTGGTGTGAAAATGGGATATATCGGTTCACTCCTACTGGTACCTCTCCCACAAGGGGTCAAAATTGTGAATAACCATGAAGCTCTTAAAACACGAAATTAATATCCGATTCTATTCAGACTTGGTACATCTCAATATTTCCATAAACACAAGATCTGTTATAAAGATTGTTGAGATCGGACTAGTCCATCTGGTACCTCCCCCACAAAGGGTTAAAATTTTGAATAACCAAAACGATCATAGAATTCAAAATAAGCATTCGTTTCTCTTCAAATTACACGCATCACAATTTGTTTATTAATCCAATGTATAGTGTGAAAATGGGATATATCGGTTCACTCCTTCTGGTACCTCCCCCACAAAGGGTCAAAATTTTGAATAACCATGAAGCTCACAAAACACGAAATTAATATCCGATTCTATTCAGACTTGGTACATCTCAATATTTCCATAAACACAAGATCTGTTATAAACATGGTAGAGATCGGATCATTGCTTCTGGTACCTGGCCCACAAAGGGTCAAAGTTTTGAATAGCAAAAACGTCCATAAAATGCGAAGTAAGCATTTGGTTCTCTTCAAATTACACAAATTACAATATTTTCGTTAACCTAAGGTGTGGCGTGAAAATGTGATATATCGGCCCACTCCTTCTGGTACCTCCCCCACAAAGGGACAACATTTTGAATAACCATGAAGCTCATAGAACACGAAATAAACATCCGGTTCTCCTCAAATTACATACATAACAATATTATCAATAAGCCAAGGTCTGGTGTGAAGATGGAATATATAGGTCCACTCCTTCTGGTAAAATTTCTGGTAAATTTCACAACATCAAAATATTTTTGCAAACGGAAGATCTGTTGTCAAGATGATATATAACTAACAACCCCTTCTGGTACCTTGGTCAATTGGCTTACTGCTTTGGAACATTCCCCATATAGGGTCAACAGTTTGAATAATCATAACTCAAGGTTGGGGGTAGACATCTGTCGGCAAAATCGACTGACGGACTAGTTCTTCCAAAATTTACTATTTTTGTTCCCTTACCCTCTTTTTTTCCAGGACATTGTCGACTTGGAAAAGGAGTTTTGGCGTTTAAAAAACTCCTCACCAAATGGCCAATTAGATCGGTTATTTTTGGCACCTTTACTGAGTCCGCCAATACCAAAACATGCGCTACAAGGTCTCTTCAATGCCTTCGATGAGAATCGTGATGGTCACATTGATTTCAAGGAATTATGCTGTGGTGTCAGTGCAGCTTGTCGTGGACCAGGCGTGGAGAGAACTCGATGTAAATAGAGAATGAATTTCATTTTTGAATATTTTAATTTCCCAATATCTTTGTTTGCAGTTTGTTTCAAAATATTCGATGTTGATAGCGATGGTGTGCTCAGTCATTCCGAAACGCTGCAAATGATAAATGTTCTGCTGTATGTGGCCAAAGAGAATCGTAATGTTGATATGTACAAAGATATAACCAAACAAGAAGCTTTACGGGACATTGTCAATTTCACCAATCAAAAGGGTGGCGGAACAGCTGGAGTCAATGACAATAAAATGATGGTGAGGAAAATGAAAAAAGTTAGATTATCTCATAAATATAGAATTTATTTCCTCTTCTTCAAAGGATTCCAAACAGTTGGCCGATATGGCCATAACCCTTACCGCTGAGGACTTTATGATGTGGAATGTGGAAAGCAGTTTGAAATTGTTACAACCCTTTTTGGACTTGATATTTGAGGTGTGTCACATTGTGTTTGGCCTGTGGCCCCAATGTCGCCATATGGAACATGATATTGGTAGGATCCATTATTGCCTTTTCTAAATTCTAATAAATTATTATAATTCCAAAAAAAAAAAAATGTTTTTCTCTAGTTCGAGGTTGGCTGGATCGTGAGGAGAAACGTAAATACACAGTTGGACAATTTTGGTATTTAATATCACGGGACTGGTGGATCCAATGGCTGCATTATGTCAACAACACCACAGTGTCTTGTGAATATTGTAAAAACACCACGAACGGCACATATCAGAGGACATCATTTTCCGGCATCGATGAGGCGGTGGTATGTGATGAAACTTTTAATACAAATTCCCTGGATTCGGTGGCAGTGTGTGGTGACTTGGGCGGCGCAGTTTCGGCAGATAATTGTAGTTTAGGTAAGTAATTCTAACTTGAATTTGAAAATATTTTGAAATTTTCACTTTTTCCCCTCAGGCTCTTCCAGCAGTGGCATCTCATCATTTCGTCAGATGGGTGCCCGTCCCGGCCCCATAGATAATACCAATCTTGTTACCCCCAATCCCTACAAGAATGTTCGCACCCTTACCGGAGAAGGTGGCCATTTGAAACGAGACACCCCCTTGGTACAAAATCATAATTTCGAACTGGTTCCCAAATCATTGTGGAAGGCTTTGAATCGATGGTATGGTGATAATTTACCACTGCCACGGCAGGTCATACAGCCACCAAATACGAATCAAGTGGAGTTGGAGTTATATCCTTTAAATTTAAGGATATTGTTACATCAGATTGTGCCACAACAACAGCAGCAACAAATGGCCAACAATTGGGGAGCCATGACAAGTAAGTTTTGGAAATTCTCCATAGTTTGAAATTGTTTTTTTTAACTCTCCCATTTAATTTCAGGTAGTTATGGTGTCATTGCTTCCGGTGGAGGATTTGCGGCCATTTCATCGCCCAATGTCCTGCAACAACCTAAACGTTATTTGGCCTATACAGCAGCTTTTAGTCGATTGGCCACGGTACAAAAGTGGCGGCCTTCCTCTGTGAACAGTTGCGTTTGCGTTCCGATGATATACGCTTGTGGCACATTCCCTCGGGTAATGTGGACAACAGTGCCATTTTATTGGAAGAGGATAGTATGACGCTAAAAGAGCTAATGATAAAGGACAACGATCAAATTCTCTTGGAGATACGCAACAAAGATCAAACATGGCCCGAGGAATTGGGTTCACTGTGTCAGACACAATCTGGAGGATCTTCCATAAATGATCGTCGTTTAACACGCACCTCCATAATGTCGCTGCAATCCCCCGGTGCCACAGGTCTACACAATTTGGGCAATACCTGTTTTATGAATGCCTCACTACAGGTACTCTTCAATACTCAACCCTTGGCTCAATATTTTCGTCAAAATATGCATTTATTTGAATTGAATACTACCAATAAATTGGGAACACGTGGAAATTTGGCCACACGTTATGGTGAATTGTTAAAGGAGGTTTGGAGTGCCACAGCACGTTCGGTGGCACCACTAAAACTTAGATTTGTTGTGACCAAGTACGCTCCTCGTTTTGCGGGTGGTGGTCAACATGATTCCCAAGAATTGTTGGAATGGCTGTTGGATGCTTTGCATGAAGATTTAAATCGGGTTATGGAGAAACCATATAGCGAGCTGAAAGATTCCAATGGCAGGCCGGACAAAATTGTTGCCGCCGAGGCATGGTCTCAACATCATGCCCGCAATCAATCGATAATTATTGATCTATTCTATGGTCAGCTAAAATCGAAAGTTAGCTGCATGTGCTGTGGCCGGGAATCGGTGCGTTTTGATCCATTCAGTTTGCTTAGTTTGCCGCTACCGGTGGAGAATTATATTTACTTTGAGGTTTTGGGTAAGTTTCCAGTAGACTTCTTGCTTTTTAAAATATTTTGTGGTTTCATTATTCCTTTTTTTTTTCTCTTCCCTCCCCAGTTATACTCCTTGATGGGTCCGTGCCCGTAAAATACGGCCTGCGTCTCAACTCCGAATGTAAATATTTCGATTTGAAACGCAAACTGGCTTGTGTGTCATATTTAAATCCCAATTTCATGTTAATCTGTGAAATATGGAATTCCCAAATACGACACATTTTTCCCGACGAGGAGAAAATCAAACCGACAGCAGCCAAGGAGTTGTATTGCTATCAATTGCCCGAAGAGTGTCAAGATCGTTCCAGATCCAGTTCAACTATGGGTGTAAATATTGAAAAGGGCCTAAAGGATATACAAAGGAGTTCGGGTAAGTAACAAGGTTATTAAATTAAAAACAAAATAACAATTTCCCTTTTTATAGCAGCCATGTTGACGGCATATGATTCCTTTTCCTCACTAAATGCAATAAATAATTCCACCGGTAATGGCGCGACCACCACCGCCACAAACACAATTTCCAATAACTCCAATTTAAATGGTGGTGATAGAATCCTATATGCCGAAACATCATTTGAGGAAATGGTTGCTCCTCCTCAATTGCCAACATCACCGCCACCACCAACGGCCCAACCACAACCTAGTCAGTCGGCAGCAATAAATGTTAAGCCCACAACAAAATCCTCGGCACTGCAACAACGCTATCAGAACAATAGTTTCGACAATGTTCCCATGACCGTTATCGGTGGCGGCAGTTGTGGCCACGATGACGGTGACGAAACCGAAGACGATGACATTCATGTATCAACGAAGGTAAGGCGGTGCTTTGGAAACAATATGTGCATGCCCCAGACTTTATTATGCTTCAAGGTATGGCTATAGTTTTTAAAATTGCAAACATTTATTGTATTTAATAACGTATATACATTATATTTCCTTTTTTTTCGATAAAATATCCAAAGCACCAGGGGATGCAATGCTGAAGATGAGTAGTTAAATTTCAAAATTATGTCTGGCTAAAACATGTTGTTTCTCCAGCTTAACATGATTTCGCATTTGGTAACAATTATTTCCCTGAGAAGTTGTGAATATTTTCAGGGAGTTTGGGAGAGGTTTCAATGTTCGTTTCTTCGAATATTTTTTTAAAGGACTAGGCTGGCCAATTTTAAGGCGAATAAAATTGACATCATTTTTAAAGAACTATCCTAAATTAAGACGTAAAATTGAATATATTTTTGAATAACTATTCCAGAGAGGAAATACGAAGGCTTGCTGTTTTTATGCAAATTTTTATACCCTCAGCCATATGGCTAGAGAGGGTATATATCATTTGATACGTCCAAAATGTGCCTCATCGAAATAACGATTTTAGACCCTAGGTCTCTTTGGACCAAATCCGTTTCAGGGCATTTCCAATCGATCTAGCGATGTCCGCCCGTCCGACTGTCTGGCTGGTGCCCACGATACCTCTCGAAGGGAGTATCCGATTTGATCCAAACTTGGTACATCGTAATATTATTGTCAAACTTAGATCGAGTTTGGAGATGGGCAACATCGGTCCACTGCTTGCGGTAGCTCCCCCGCAAAATGTCAAAATTTTCAAAGAAAATAATTTACTGCACAAAACAAGAAAGGATAATCCGATTTTGCTCCATCTTTGCAAATCCTAATATTTGCGTCAGTGCTAGGTCAGGTGTGAGGATGGACAATATCTTTTCACTTCTTCAAGTACCTCCCTCACAAAGGGTCAAAATTTTGAAAAATTTATGAAGCTCATAAAACACGAAATTAACACCCGATTCCATTCAGACTTGGCAAATTTGAATATTTCCATCAACACAAGATCTGTTATAAAGATGGTAGAGATCGGACCATTCCTTCTAGTACCTCCCTCACAAAGGTTCAAAGTTTTAAATTACAAAAACTATCATAAAATCGGAAATAAGCATTCATTTTTTTCTTTAAATTGCACTCATCACAATATTTTTATTAACCCAAGGTCTGGTGAAAAGATGGAATATATCGGTTCACTCCTTCTGGTACCTCCCCCATAAAGGGTAAACATTTTGAATAATCATGAAGCTCATAAAACACAAAATTAACATCCGATTCCGTTCAGATTTGGCACCTCTCGATATTTCCATCAACACAATATCTGCTATAAAGATGATAGAGATCGGACCATTCCCTGTGGTACCTCGCCCACAAAGGGTCAAAGTTTTGAATAACAAAAACGATCATAAAATCCGAAATAAGCATCCGGTTCCCTTCAATTTACACACATGGCAATATTTTTATTAATCCAAGATCTGGTGTGAAGATGGAATATTTCGGTCCGCTCCTTCTGGTACCTCCAACACAAAGGGTCAAAATTGTGAGTATCCATGGAGCTCATAAAACGCGAAATTAACATCGGATTCCATTCAGACTTGACACATCTCGATATTTCCATCTACACAAGAGCTGTTTTAAAGATGGTAGAGATCGGAACATTTCATGTAGAACCACCCCCACAAAGGGTTAAGATTTCGAATAACAAAAACGATTATAAAATCCGAAATAAGCATGCGGTTCTCTTCAAATTACACACATCACAATATTTTTATTAACCCAAAGTCTGGTGTGAAGATGGAATATTTCGGTCCGCTCCTTCCGGTATCTCCCCCACAAAGGGTCAAAATTTTGAATATTCATGATGCTCATAAAACGCGAAATTAACATCGGATTCCATTCAGACTTGGCACATCTCGATATTTCCATCAACACAAGAGCTGTTTTAAAGATGGTAGAGATCGGAACATTTCATGTGGAACCACCCCCACAAAGGGTTACGATTTTGATCATCCGGTTCTCTTCAAATTACACACATCACAATATTTTTATTAACCCAAGGTCTGGTGTGAAGATGGAATATTTCGGTCCGCTCCTTCTGGTATCTCCCCCACAAAGGGTCAAAATTTTGAATATTTATGATGCTCATAAAACACGAAATTAATACCCGATTCCATTCAGACCTGGCACATCTCATTATTTCTTTCAACACAAGATATGTATAAAAGATGGTAGAGATCGGACCATTCCTTCTGGTGCCTTCTCCACATAGGGTTCCAGATTTTGAATAGCAAACCGCTCATAGATAGCGAGATAAGCAACCAACTCTCTTCATTTTTCACAAATCCAAAAGTTTTTGTTAACCCAAGATCTGTTGTGAAGATGATATATATCTGTGAACCCCTTCTGGTACCTCACCCACAAAGAGTCACAACTTCCAATACTTATATCTGTCATAACTTTCCTGATCGGTCTAAAAATTTCTCTCAACCAGAAACCTGAGATGAATATGGAATTTATGATTTCGCATAAAATTGGGTATAAATGTTCGATTTCCTTCCTTAGATGAAGTATGAAAATTGAATACTTCGGTCCGCGCAAATTTCCACATTTTCCAAAAATTTGCACATATCTCATATAAAGTATGGGAAATAGTCGATATAGTCCAAATCTGGCACATTGTAATATTTTTTTATCAATCTTAGGTCAGCCACGAATTGATCAATATTGTCCAGTTGCTACGGAACCTCCCTCATAAAGGGTCAAAAGTTTGAATAATCATAACTCAAGCCTGGGCGTATAAATCTGTTGGCCTCTGATACTATTTTACTTGTACTAAAGAGTATTGCTACAAAGACTATGGCAGTTTTTAAAGGACATTTTTTACCTTTGAAGGTATTAGAGACTTAAATGTCAAGGCTGGGGGTAAAAATCTTTCAGTAAAACCGACTGCTACTATTTTGCTTGTTCTAAAGAGTATTGCTACAAGGACTATCGCAGTGTTTAAAGGACATTTTTTACCTTTGAAGGTATTAGAGACTAAAATGTATTTTCAGAAAATTTTTTCAAAGTCATACAAACTATTTTCCAAGGACTCTTACCAGCAATAACAACAAACCCCAGCTATCCTGAATCGATTTTAAAATATATCTCTCTGTATAAAAAGTCCCCAAATATATTTGAACTGCCAATTTTCAAATTTTCCCCCAAATTCACATTGCATCCCCACCAATTGGCAAGAAATCTTTCAATACATATTCTTATTGTTAAGAATAAATACGCGCATTACATAGGCTTTGCTGCTGCCGTCGTTGTGTTGTCGTGTCGTAACAAATATATATATATATTTTTACAATTCTCAAACAATATTTGTTCAAGAAAAATAGAGCAAATTTGCCATTAAATGTTAGAGCATCAGTGCATCATATTATTAGCCCATAGGAATAAGGGTTTCAATGCAGCCATTAACTCTTTCATTTTCGTTTCACTGGAATTCACTTAGAAATGGTGAAGAACAAAAACAAAAAAAAAAGAAAAATGGACAAAACAAAAAGTGATACGTATTAAATACAAATGTTTACACTAGTAGCGAACCGTTCCTTTTTTTAGTATTTAGTTGTATGGTTTTGGATGTAAATATTTTTGGTTTTTTTAATTAATTTAGTTATCTTTTTTTGTAATGCAAACAATAGCGCAATGATGTACAATTGAAACTAATATTTTATTCTGCTTTCGGTCTTTGATTTTAAGAAGGTTTTCTGTTAAGGTCTTTCTAGACTATAATTTAAGGACTTTTAGATCTGTAAACGTGGACTTTCAAAGGAATGCTTTTTAGCATTTAAGGGATATTTCTGAAGGACGATGAGAGCTACATATCGTGACTTTTGTGGAATTTTTCTAAGAATATTTGTGTACCCTCCACCATAGTATGGAGGGTATATTAAGTTTGTCATTCCGTTTTTAGTAGTATATTTATATTCTTAATCAGCATAAAATTCTATGTCGACCATGTAGGTCCACTCCTTCGTATAGTCCCCATACAATGGTACCTTCCTATTTTCGGTATTTTGGTGATTATAGCGACATTATTCACCTGAAATGTTTCAAATTTTGTATTTGAAGTTCGTAATGGATACTACAGCATATGACAGAAAATTGTCTGTGCAGGTCCACGTCTTTCTGTAGCTCCCATACAATGGTACCTCCCTATATTCGGTATTTTCATGATTTTAGCGACATTATTTACCGGAATTGTTTCAAATTTCGTATTTGAAGTTCGCAATGGAGACTACAGCCTAAGACAGAAAATTGTCTGTTCAGTTTCACGTCTTTCTATAGCCCCATATAACGGCACCTCCCGATATTCTATATTTTGATGATTTTAGCGACATTATTCACCGGAAATGTTTCAAATTTGGTATTTGAAGTTCGTAATGGATACTACAGCCTAAGACAGAAAATTTTCTGTTCAGTTTCACGTCTTTCTATAGCCCCATACAACGTCACCTCCCGATATTCCATATTTTGATGATTTTAGCGACATTATTCACCGGAATTGTTTCAATTTTGGTATTTGAAGTTCGTAATGGATACTACAGCCTAAGACAGAAAATTTTCTGTTCAGTTTCACGTCTTTCTATAGCCCCATACAACGTCACCTCCCGATATTCCATATTTTGATGATTTTAGCGACATTATTCACCGGAAATGTTTCAAATTTGGTATTTGAAGTTCGTAATGGATACTACAGCCTAAGACAGAAAATTTTCTGTTCAGTTTCACGTCTTTCTATAGCCCCATACAACGTCACCTCCCGATATTCCATATTTTGATGATTTTAGCGACATTATTCACCGGAATTGTTTCAATTTTGGTATTTGAAGTTCGTAATGGATACTACAGCCTATGACAGAAAATTTCGTGAGCAGGTCCGTTTAAGTGATAATGCCCCCTTCCGAATGGTAGGGGGTATTAAAAGGACA